CGGCCCCGCCCGCACTCAGCTTGGCAGCGGGGTGCGGAGACCACGGCCCGGCCGGGCCACCCGAAGCCTAGTGCTGGGCCGGGCCGGGCCAGGGTGGGTGGGGGCCCGCCCGGCCCGCCCATGGGCTCAGGATGCCGGTGCGGAGGGGCCACGTCGCGCCGCAGAACACCTTCCTCGACACCATCATCCGCAAGTTTGAGGGCCAGAGTGAGTGGGGGAGGGGGCAAGACGGGGAGGGGGCTTGAGGAGGTTTGGGGGGTGGGTCCAGTGCTGCCGAGTGTGGATGGGGGGCGTGCCCGGGCCGTGTGCAGTGCAAAATGTGAGTCAGTAGGGGATGGTGGGCCCTGAGACTTGTGCCAGGAGTCGAGGGGCCAAGGCTTGGTGCCAGGGGATCATTGGCATGGGACTAAGGGGCCTAGTGTTGCAGCTTGGGGTCAGAGAGTGTGTGTGACACCTGGAATGTGCAGGAAAGGGAGGTGGGATGAGATATGCAGGTGTTTCTACCTCTAAATACCCAGAGTTTATGGGATGTGTGTGTGTGTGTGTGTGTGTGTGTGTGTGTGTGTGTGTGGCCATTGAGAATGTATATGACCCAAGCTGTTGGATCCTAAAAGTACAGTGCATGTTCCAATCTCGAATGTGTTCTATGTGAGAGAAGCTAAGGATATAGGATCAGTAACCAATCTGCTCTTGAGTGTGTCGCTTGTATACAACCAAGTCCCTGTGTCACTTATGAATTTGAGTCTGCATGAGCAGTCAAGAGGTATCACCTACAAGTCCCCAAGATTGTGGGTCCAGTGGTGAGAGGGTGCTGCAGACCTGAAGCTGGCTTTGGGGTTAACAGGCTGGCTCTGGAGCTCTGGTGTGGTGGGTTTTCCTGCTCTGGACAGCACCCCAAACCCCATTTGGGGGATTACAGCACCCCTTATGCTGACCTAGCAAGAGAGACTTCCAGAAGTGTCCTAGGCTAGGTGAATGTTTTGGTGTTGGTGTGCCTGTCCTCAAAAGCTGCATGTGCCACAGAGGGTGTGACTGTCAGGGGCCCTGGGAGCCGGAGAGTGACATTCCTTGCCCGTGACCCTGTGCACACAGGACAATGTGTGCTTGTACTGTGGTGGGAGGGAGGGGTCAGTCGGATGGGCGGCATTGTCCCTAGACTAAGAACAAGATGATCCTGAGGGGTTGGATCGGTGACACTGGTGTAGGCCTAGGGGCTGGGGGCAGGCTTTCTTTTCCTACCAGCTGGGTAGGCACAGGCAGCATCTGAGAAGACCTTGGACTGGATCCTAAAGACTTGGCTTCTGGCCCCACCTCTGCCACTGACTGCCAGATGACCTTGAATGACTCTTCCCCTCTAAGCCTCAGTTTCCACATCTGTGAACAAGGGGATAAGCCACCGGACTTTAGAGGTTTCTTCTGCATCTGTATTCTAGGATTTCAGTCAAGGGGGTGGGGTGGGGTGGGGCTTGCCTCCAGAGGAACCTGCTCCGCTCTCCTCGTCTGGGAGTCTGGGGGTCCACTTTCTCCCATGGGTGGTTGGTACTCTGGACTGTCTTAGGCTGAAGTGGGGATGGAGACAGAGTCAGAAGGTCTTTTCATATGACAGTAAGCTCTGACCTGGGTTGATGCTCGCTTGGGAGTTCCAGTAGGCCTTGGGAACTGACCTAAAGATGACCCAGCTCTCAAAAGTAACTTTCTCGAGGGCAGGGCAAAGATGGCAGCAGCCAGGAGGCCAGGTCCTGATAGGCTGGCCTCGCTGCAGGGATCCCTGCCGCGCAGCCTGGGGTTTGCCCTCCGGACTGTGCAGAGCCGCAGTCCGAAGATGCGGAGGGAAGGAGACAGTCCAACTTCAACTGCGCATCCCGGCACTAAAGACCAAAGGGGCCAGCATTTCTGTTTATAGAAGGCTCCTATCCGTGAACATCTCCCTTGGGCACACACTGAGGTTGCCACTGACTTGCTGCTCATCCTCCTGCCTGGCCCGTGGGGCAGGTGTGGGTGGGTGAGCCAAGTCTAGATGAAATGGGTCTATCAGACTTCCTTTTTTTTTTTGGTCAGGGTGGCAGAGGAAGGCTTCATATCTCTAGAGGAGGTCATCTTTCCCAAGATTGTTTTCTCCCAGTGGACCAGTGTCTTGGGCCCACCTCTGGACTCTAGGGAGCTGCAGGCTCTAGGGTGTGAAGCTGCGGGTTGCTTTCCTTGCTCAGTATGACCTTGGACATCTGCCTGTGACCCCAAGCTGTCCTGCCAGACAAGGTTCAAAAGCTAGTTTCACTATGAATGAGCTGCTAGACTTGGGCATTGGGCTGAACTTCTCTTGAGTTCATCCATAAAATGACGACTCTAACAGCCACCTTGCTGGGTTGTCCAGGTCTACTAGTTCACTCCCCCATTCTTTGGTTCACCCACTCCTCAGCTTCTGACAGCCTGCGGATAGGGTGTGAAAGTCATAGTAGGCACTGATCAGAAGGAGTCTGGGGGTACTTGAGGGACTAGTTTTCTAGGGAGCGTCCTCTATCAAGAGGAAGAAACCAGAGGAGCTGGTGCAAAGGGGAGGCTGGCCGCCATCTCCTGCCCTTCCCATGCTCCCTTTCCAGGCTGTGTTTATCCCTCCGCCGCGGCTGCTGACACGCGTTGCTGACACCCGCCCAGGCCGGCCTTGGCCGCTGGCTTTTTGCCCGGGGGGAAGCCACGCAGCCAGCCGGCGGGCCGGGGGTTGGGGGGGGGGCGTGTCGCCAGGCCGCGCCCGGTTGAGGCACCTGTGTCAGGGCACAGCTGCGTTCGGCCGGGGTTGGGCGCCCCCCCTCCCTGATGCGGAGGAGTGTCGGACGGCAGTATGTGACGAGCGAATGTGGGGAAGGGCCGGGAGCCCCCGAGACTGGTGTCCCCGCTCACGTGCGCCTTCATCCCCGCCTCTCTCCCCCCTCGCCCCCCCCCCAGGCCGCAAGTTCATCATCGCTAACGCCCGCGTAGAGAACTGCGCCGTCATCTACTGCAACGACGGCTTCTGCGAGCTGTGCGGATATTCGCGGGCCGAGGTGATGCAGCGGCCCTGCACCTGCGACTTCCTGCACGGGCCGCGCACGCAGCGCCGTGCCGCCGCGCAGATCGCGCAGGCCCTGCTGGGCGCCGAGGAGCGCAAAGTGGAGATCGCCTTCTACCGGAAAGATGGTAGGCGGGGCCGGGGCGTGGCTATGGCAAGGGGCCGGGCCTCGAGAGAACGAACAGGGGTGTGTCGGGGGAACAGAGGGGTGGAATCTGTGGTTGCGGGAGGCTGGTGAACTGTGCGGGTTCCGTGGGGGCGGGACCCGGGCGGGGGCGTGGCCCTATGTCTCGGGGCGGGTGTGGCCTAGGGCTCAACTCTGGTGGGTTTGGTTTTCCAGATGGACTTGGAGCTGCTAAGGGCGAGGGGCCCTGGCACCTTCCGTACTTTCCTCTTTGGCAGATGTCATTATGTTGAGCTAGGCAGGCTGGCATTTGACCAGGCAGGGATAGTAGTTGCGTGCGTGGATGGCGGTAATAGAGCAAGCTGGAGGCTGGCGCTGACTCCCAGCCACAGGATTCAGGCTAGCTACCTGTAGGTCAGCCTGTGCCAGGTGACTTCCTGGAAGATGTCAGGGAGGGTGCGGCAGAAGGCCTGTGTCTGCTGTCACTCCCCTTCCTTCCTTTCTCTTCTGCACTTCAACTACACTTCTTCCCACAACCTCGGTTCCCTTGGTTCCCTTTGTCTGGTCCGCAGAATACCCTGCCCCGCCCTCAGTTCCCTCTTGGCCAGGTGTCTCTGCTCAGCCACCACCTCCCCACCCAGCTGCTCTGTGCATCCGGAGAGAGCGAAGGAGAGAGCGGATAAACACAGTGGGTGGAGCTGCTCTCCCACTGGGCTTGTGCTGCTGGGTGGGCTCTGCTCGGGGAGGTCAGTGAGGTGGTGGGCTAGTGGGTAGAGGAGGGCTGGGAGGGGGTTCTAGAATTCCGTTTTTTCACCAGTGAATATGTCATACGTTTCACTGCAATCCTGGGAACCCAGCTCAGAGCTGCCTACAGGAAGGTTCCTGCACGCCCCAGGCCTTTGCTGAGCCAGGGTGGAGAGGCTGCCTGTGAAGGCTGGCGTCCTTAGGGGGCTTCCTTTTCGGGTGTGTAGCCTGTGATGTTCTTGGACAGCACTCGGGGAGGGTGGGGGCATACACAGTGGCCCTTTGCCGGAGAGTTTGCTTGTGCAAATTGGGGTTCTGGCTGGCAGGCAGGGAGGGGATGAAGTAGCGGAAGCTTACAGACACTGGGCTGTGTGTTCTCTTGTGTAATCCTCACAGCATCCTTGAGATGCAGATACCACTTTTTATCTCCTAAGGATGATGAAACTGAAGTTCAGAGAAATTAAGCCCGTTTGTTCCCTGGCTGAGCGGTGGGTGGCGTGAGTCTTTAATCCCAGCACTCAGGAAGCAGAGGCAGGCAGATCTCTGAGTTCGAGGCCAGCCTGGTCTACAGAGCAAGATCCAGGACACCAAAACTACACAGAGAAACCCTT